ATGCATCACCATGGGTTAGGTTATCGCAGCCTGATCGCAGACATGTGATAGATTATGCAGCCTAACAAGTTGATTTTCATTCCACATTATCAGTGAACTGAAACCACTAACTACCAGCTGGAATAAAGAAGCACTGCGCTGGTAATGCAAAACAGCAATATTTGGCTTCAGGAGGATATTTGTGTTTGAAAGCCATGTTTAGTTTTTATGTCGCTTTTAAAATACAACCCCTATTATTTCGTTTGTGGCTGTACGAGGCATCGGCAGACATGGAACTGTGTGCGCACAGAGGCAGGCTCAGACACGGGGGTCTACTGGGGAACGACGAGCTCTTTCGTTCCCCTCTGGCTGTAGCTCAGGTGGTAGAGCAGGTCATCTACTGACCGGAAGGTTGGTGGTTCGATTCCTGGCTTCCCCTAGTCTGCATGCCAAATATCCTTGGGCAAGATATTAACCCCAAATTGCTCTCCGATGCATCCATCGGAGTATGAATGTGTGTGAATGTTACTTAGAAAGCACTTAGAAAAATGTGCTTGGGTGAAAGCACAAGTTGTGTAAAGTGCTTTGAGTGCTCAGAAGAGTGGAAAAGCGTTATATAAGAACCAGTCCATTTACCTTTTAGCACGTCTAGTGAGTTAAGTCATGTGAAAAGAGAAACACGTTGCAGAAGTAGTACACATCTTTCTGGGAAGCACAACCCTTCCCAAGTTGGCCTAAGGGAGTTAAAACTCACAAAGCTGGCACTATTGCATCTAAATGTGGCTACTCAAAGTGGACGCACAATTAGCTCCTTGCAAAGTGCACCTTAGGGTTATGCTCATTGAAGCAGGCTGAAGACATCAGGCAGGTTTAGAACGGCCCACAGCAACACCAACGGCAACTGCTGAAAAGAGGGGGGCACAGAGCCATAATATGATTAGCTCCATCAACAGGCTTCATACCACAGGTTTTAATGTAGCCATGTGTACCCAATCCAGCTGTCTTTGCTCATTATTAGCTGATTTCAACACAGCTATGTGATCATTTGCAGGAGGAAGTTCTACTGGAAAAGTTTAAATGAGGTTTCTGAATCCATCATGACCACCAAACCAGCAGTAGACTAGCTTCTTTTCTGTGCTCATCCTGTCCAGCCTCAGTGTAGTGTTTGATAGCACTGATCATTCTAACGAGACCAAACTGTTGGTGGTAAACAAAATGCACTGCAGCGATTTGGACTGTCTCCATCGAATAGACTCCAGTTTGTGTGTCTTCATAAGAGTCTGTCCTTTATACATGATATTAGAAAACACTGTATACTTTTCATTGCTATGCAGATGATTATGGTTATATTTATCTATACAGCCAGATGCCACGGTCAGTGAGTTAAATTACAGGCACACAGTCCTGGATGCTCCTTATTTTCATCTCCTAAATTCAGACAAAACTGAGATCTTTACATTTGGCCCAGAAACATGGTCTCTACCCGGACACTTCCTCTGCACGGCATCACCTGTATATGAAATATAAAATCTTCAAGTTTCTGAATATTTGCCTAAAACAAAACCCTGAATCGTTTCCGGGCGCTTCGCGAAAGCTTGCCTCCTTACAGCCATGTCGACCCATGGTGTGGCAACATATCACTAGATTTAAATACAAACTGACTTAAAGGATACCCTATAATTTCCTAAAACTAGAAAAGTTGCAGAACTCTTGAGGTCGTGTTTCAACATTTTGGAAAACATGTTTTGTTTTATGAAAAATGAGTTTAGAAGTTGAAACTGAAGTCTAAAAGGGAAACAACTAAGCCTACGTTACTTTGCCAATGAAAGTTGAGTTTATCTACAGCTGCCCCCAAAGCAGTCTAAGTAATATACTGTACATATATATGAATATCATACATAGGAACCAGATGTGAGCGCAATAGGATGTTGAGGCCTTGACCAAACCACAGCTTTAGTTAGAAACTGTCTGAAGATTGAAAATTCCTTTTCCCCCTGCTGTCCATGCTAAAACCTGTGAGGCTTCACCAGCAACACAACAGATATTAAGACTGACTCACCATGGGAAACACCGACTATTCAGTGTGACGATGTCAAAAATATGTTCCACTTTCCAAGCAAGGAGGGCGTCTTCACAGTTGCCGTATGCATGTGGCAGACCATGTCAGAAGTCTGCGGAGCCATGCAGTGGTGGCTGTGTAAGTGATCAAAAGGGAGGCAGTGCAGTGTGATGAACAGTCGGGAACAATGACTCTGGCAGCTGACCCATGAACACGGCTGGCACACGGGTGCCAGAGGCTCTTTAGAGCCGCAGTCATTAGTGCAGCCACATTAAGGTCCCCCAGGGATTAAAACGACTCTGAACCCCCTCACAGGTATACATATTTTGATACTCCAACTTCTTAACTGCTTTTCTAATCCAGGCGTGTGGGAGGGCTGATGTCTATCCCAGCTGTCACAGGGCGAGCGGTGGGGTAGACCCTGAACAGGTCACCAGTCTACCTAACAGGACTGAGCATTTCTGTCTTATGTACTCATACGACTCGCCAAACATCTGTACTGTTAGCTTCAGTATGAAGACAAACTGTGGTCCACTGGTAGAAAATAACTTTGTGTATTTGGTACTTGCATGAAAAATGAAAGCAACATACATTACTTATATCGTATGGATTGTGGAAAGCTTGCTAATAGGCGCTAGCTCAGATTATTTCTAACCCTAGCTAGTGATTACTAAAACTACATCAGCCTTTGGCACTATAACATGGTGAAACTGAGGTAGCTATTTTCATTTGATGTTTCTTTAAATTGATTAAAATATAGAAAGAAAATGCTGTCGTGCTTCAATAATGTAGCAAAACATCACAGTTTCCCACCGTAGCTGCTAATGCATGTAAAACGTGCCATTTTTGACTTTTTATACATTTTCTGTGAATGTTGGAACAAGAGCTGGACGAATAAGGACTATGAGACGAACTTCTTATCCTTGTAAGCACAAATGATCATCCTAGCATACGAACTAGATCATACCCAGAAGATATTGTTCTAAAGCAGAGAGAAAGACTTTAAAGCCGTTACTCTCTCAAAGCAAATACAGCACATGAATATTCTGTAGTTTCTTTACCAATTCAAAAAAAAGAAGACATTTTACAAACGCTTGACAGTTGAAATGATGACATTGTTTTTATTCTCATAAAGCAATCAACGTAGCGTATATATGATTTTTTCTATAAATATAAAGGTTCTCTTCATAGCAAATGCAAAGGAAATTACTTCAAAGCAGTGACTATTGTAGAGCCGTCAACACAATAAAAGGATTATTATGAATCGGAAGCACTGTGTGGAAGAGCGTTTGACAAGAACACACAGTCGTGAAATGTGTGTGTGTGTGTGTGTGTGTGTGTGTGTGTGTGTGTGTGTGTGTGGTGTGTGTGGTGTGTGTGTGGTGTGGTGTGTGTGTGATGCGATGCTGCACCGACAGCAGCCGCTCTGCATTTCAGCACAAGGCTTCCTTTCTCCTGCGGTGGAAGACATGCAAGCTGCTGGCTGCTCTTCAGTCCCACAGTGCAGCTATGTTCACGGGGATCAGGTTACTCTGCAGATGAACCCGAGCCCCCTTTCAACAGTTTCTGACATGTTCAAGCCCCAGGTACAGAACGTGAAAAAACTCTTCCAAAAATGTATGATATGTGCATTGCAAACAGCCGCTCTCATCGCTGACTGCAGACATTTACAGCACCGCGATTGAGTCTGGACACCTTTAACCTTCTGGACAAACAATCTGTCGGTCCTTTACTTTGTCAAATATAATAAAAATGTTAGAATCTGTATGTAAATCAGAACTGCCACGAGGAATTTTGCAAACAGAAGTAGATTCAAATCTAAATGTACTTTGTAGTACTGGAGACTCATTTTGTTTCCTCATTTAGACACTTTGATAAAGGGGAGAATTATTATTATTTTATTGTGAAACACGACACTGAACCCATGTTTCACTTTATACCGTCCACTAAAAATGATCTCGTACTACTGACGAGTATTCAAGCTTGAACGGTTTCAAAAGCTACTTATGACCTAAAAGATCTAAAGGTCTTATTTTTAATTATGTCATCACTTTCATTTCTGTTAACCTGCAGATTCTCTTTGAAACACTAATTCATACCTTTAACTGCATAAAGTTAAAGGATCTCATCTCCAAATTCTCAAAATGGAATTTTCAATTTTGACTTGAATCTTTTGTTCTTGCCTGATAACAAATTCCAGCACAATCACACATTTTTGATGCAAAACCAAACAAACAGGAATCATTTTCGACGTGTTGTGGGTAAACATAACTATAAGGCTGCAAAGTGCGTCCAAAGATTTAAGAACACTATACTAAATGTCTGAAAATTTAGTTCCAAAGTTATGAAAGTTGTTGCTTTACAACAAGCCCACACACAACACAGCCACACACACACATCAAACAATCACAAACATCCACAGCACAGCCACCACACTTACAACACTACCGCACACACAACAACACAAACACACTACACACAGACACACATCACACAATCACAGACACATTTGCACAAGCTCTGCAGCAGTATTTCATTTTCTCTTTAAAAACTGCATTTCTCAAAATAGATCTTTATTAAACAGACATTACTGCTGCTTTGAACGTGTGCAGTGAAGGAACACACCAGCATTTCTGCATGTTGTAGATCTACATAGAACTGTTGTTAGATTGTTACTTTGGTCAAAGTTGTGTTGCTGTTGCATCAAATTACAAGGGCCAGTCTGCGTCATAGCAACCATGCCAGAAAAACAGAACATAGTGCTGGGCGCTACACTGTTCATAACGTCATGCATGACAGATTTTTTCATTGAGAAAAGTCTGGTCAACTGAACAAATTTGTTACTAATTTGTAATTTAGAATTTCACGCAGACAAACAGCATGCTGGGATACGCTAGCAGGTTAGCATAACAGCGTGGAGGTGCTGTGTGCAGCCTGAGACGGGGCGAGGATGAAGAAAAGAACAAAAAACAGCAAAGATGACCACGAGAGGATCTGCTGTGTTTCCTGGTCTCTTCTCTGTGGGCAGGGCTGCTCCACACACAGTGACATGGATAATGTGCGACTTGAGGTAAGTGTGTTTTTCCTGATGGCTGAATCATTTCCCCCACAAAGTTCGGAGAATAAGTCCAAACAGACTTTCTTAAAGCTCACGACCCACAACATGTTGATTTTGTTACAAACAGGGACGAAAAAATAAAAAAGTGGAAACACATCTCACGTAAAACTTGCTGTTCTGCTTTAAGGACCGACAGGACAACATAGACTGTTTTGTGTGTGTGTTTAGGGTTTTACACTCCTGACAGAAGAGCGAGCTGCTGTAGCCCTACATGAAGACCCGCCGAGACGACCCTGAAACTGAATCTCACTGTCACACCGCCCAGCACTACACGCAAAAATACCAAACAGGAATCTGAAGGTCAGAGTGTTCAGAATTACAAAAGCAGATCGTGATCACGGCAGATCATTAAAAAGAAACATGTTTTCAGGAAAACATGAGAGAAATTCATCTCGCGTTTTGCCTGACAGCATTGTAACATACATGCAAAACCACTTGTGTGTTCCTTTACATTTGCATGACTACCTGCGCTTTATTTAGAAAAGGAATGTAAAGGCCTGAGCTACAGGCCACAACCATCTGCCACAGTGACTCACATTCACAACCTTGCACACCACTTCTTGTTCCCAGGATGCTGACACGTCCCTCCAGAGCCGGGCCACCGCTCACTCCACTGTACAACAGACACAAACTACAGCTGGTTAATCGGGGGGAGAGGGAGCCACGAGGAAGCACTTGGGTTTCACGAGACTCTGCTTAGAATAGACCTGGGGCTCACAGGCAGTTCACCGATCTCACACACACACACACACACACACACACACACACACACACACACACACACACACACGGGAAGTACTCCTAGAAGGTGTCTGCAGTAAGACAAGTCATGAGACCTCAGGACTGTTGATGATCGGCTGGCTCTTTGTGATGATTAAGTAAAATTCCATCAAGTCCAACGTATGAAAAAAGGTGTTTCAAAAAAATCTTTTTTTAAATCTTTAAATACAAATATATACTTACAAAAATCTCACAAATGCATATGTACATTAAAAAAACAGAGCGAGTGTCTCCTGTGAGTCCAAGAAAATGAATAAAAAGAAGGATTATCATTCAGTTTGTCACAAACAGTCTGCGTGAGGTTCGACTACACTGTGGTCTCGCCCTGTTTACTGTTGGCCAGTCTCGTGTAAAACCTCCTCCAGGAGTTAAGGGTCTTTCCGGACCAGATCCAGAAGCCAGAAGTGATGCCAACAATGAGCGTCATGAGATACTTGATCATGAAGACGGTGAAGTCTGGGCTCATGTTGGGGTGGCTGTGGGCCGGACACGGCACGGCGTACGTCTTGCACGTCTGGCTGATCCACGTCCTCTCCCACTGCTCTCTGAAGGCCTGCTCGTAAAAGTAGCAGGCGATGACGATGGTGGCCGGCACGGTGTAAAGCACGCTGAAGATGCCTATCCGCACCATCAGTTTCTCCAGCTTCTCCGTCTTGGTGCCGTCGTGCTTCATGATGGTTCGGATTCGAAACAGGGACACGAATCCGGCCAAAAGGAAGGAGGTGCCGATAAACAGGTATACGAAGAGGGGCGCCAGAACAAAGCCGCGCAGGGCGTCCACGCTGTTGATGCCCACAAAGCAAACCCCACTCAGCACGTCTCCATCCACCTGACCTACTGCCAGGATGGTGATGGTTTTGATGGCAGGAACGGCCCAGGCCGCCAGGTGGAAATACTGAGAGTTGGCCTCGATGGCTTCGTGGCCCCACTTCATTCCTGCTGCCAGGAACCAGGTGAGAGCCAGGATGACCCACCAGATCGAGCTGGCCATGCTGAAGAAGTACAGCATCATGAAGAGGATGGTGCAGCCCTCCTTTTTGGTGCCCTGCACCACAGTCTTTATGTCGTTGTCAAACTTGTCATTGCAAACCACCTTGTCCTCCAGTAAAAATCCAGCAATGTAGGCGATGGAAACCATGGTGTAGCAGCCAGAAAGGAAGACGATGGGTCTCTCTGGGTAGCTGAAGCGCTTCATGTCCACCAGGTAGGTGAGCACGGTGAATAAAGTGGAAGCACAACACAGCACTGACCATATGCCGATCCATATGCGGGCGAATTTGAGCTCCTCCTCGCTGAAGTACATCATCCCGTGGGATCTCTTCGGCTCGCACGGCGCGGCGCAGTTCTCCTGCCCGAGGAAGCGGTAGTTCAGGTAGGGAGGCACCCTGAGCGAGGCCGGGCATCTGAACTGGCCGTTCCCCGGGTCAGTAGGTGGCCGCTCGGTGGAGTAGGGCCCGGGCTGGGGCTCCGTGTGGTCCGACATGTTCTGGCCGACGCACAGCTCCCCCGCGCCGTGGACCGGAAAGCTATCGCACGCGAGGCTGTCGGGCCACTGGAAGCCGAACTTGTTCATGAGCGCCTCGCAGCCCTGCCGCGCGCGCTCACACAGAGAGCGGCACGGGGGCAGCGCCTTCTCCAGCACCGTGCACACGGGGGCATACATGGAGCACAGGAAGAACTTTAAATCCGGGGAGCACTGCACTTTCACCAACGGGTAGAACTGGTGGACCTCCAGCCCCGCGTCCTCCTGGTTGGTGTGGCCCAGCAGGTTCGGCATGATAGTCTCATTGTAGGCGATGTCCGTGCACAGGGGGATGGAAATGGGCTGACAGAATCCGTGCTCCGGTATAGACAATCCTCGGTCACTGCCGCCGTATTGGCCGTTGACTCGAAAAATCCCCAGGTTCAGGAACAGGATAAAAAACAGAAAAAGCAAAGCCGAGCGGAGAAGTCTGTTGTAAGCCATGTTGAGGAATGCAGACGCTGCCGTACTTTCTGCGTGTTGCTTAACTAACTTGCGTTACCTCAGCAGGCAGCAGGCTACTTCCCTGAACGCTCTTTGTTGGCGTTTCTCGCAGAGGTAAGCGCCGCTTCTCGCCGCGGGATTCTGGCTGTCCGTCCTCCCTCTCGTCGCCGCGCCGAGGTAGCAGCGCAGTGCGTTAGAACATCCACACTCGTGAATCGCAAACTCGGACCTCCTCGGGTGAAATCCAGTCCAAAACCAAGCCCGAACTCTAATCCTCCAGGACAAGGACAGCTCCGCTCTGCAGCGTGCCCGACACAGCGTCAGTCTGCCGTTCAAACCTGTTCTGCGATCCCTCACTCTAATGCCACTGCAGCCAAGCTCACCTCCAGTCATTATTACTTCCGCGATAAACTTTCACAATAAAAGCCTTTAATACAACTGTAGCTTGAGCAGCTTTCTTGAGCTTAAAAACCAATACGCAGACTATTTTAATCTGGATGGGAAAGATTTCATTATCTTGACTTTATGCCCCTTTGGTTCTGATTTTGTATTTATTACATTTTATCGTTTTTTTGAATATGCTGCCTTCTCTATAAAGTCATTCAAAATGAAATGGTTAAGTTATGATAATTTAGAGAGCAGATTAAACGTACAGTAAAAGTACCAAATAAAAGGAATGTAATACACATAGAGATCAAAGTACTCTATATTTTAATAGATGCAACAAAAAAAAGACGTAGCTGAACTCTGGTTTCTACTTTGGCACACATACTTTTGTACTGACGCACTTCCTATCTACATCCGTGTCACCTTCAATAGCTTAATACCTCTCTCTCTCCCTCTCCCTCTCTCCCTCTCTCTCTCTCTCTCTGTAGGATCTAAGAGATGGAGGTTAGGGAGGGTCTGCATTTTTCCTCATGTTTGCATAAATTGCAGGGGTTCATTTTGGAACAGCGCTGCACACATTAAAAGACCGAATCAAGTGTCCTTCTGAGTGTTGGCTCCCTTCCTCTTTACTTTGTTTGCTTGTAGTCTCTCTTCTTTACACGCCTTAGCAGTTTGTGGTCAATTTCTTGCAAAGCACTTGCTCATAGGGGCTCTTAACCTGATCAAGCCTGACTGTCTCTTCCTCTGTATCAGTGGTGGTATAGGTCACAACAAATTGTAGTGTTTTTTGTTTGTTTGTTTTAGAGCCATTACAAACAGCTGACAAAGACATCTAATACAGATGTTTACCTCAGGAGCCCAAAAAAGAGTAAAGCTAGAGACTGAGTGCTGGACTTTGATTCCTCAGGGCAGCTGAACCTCAGAGTGAGCTTGATTGCTGATGTTGTTTAAGAACTACTGGATTAAAACAGAGAAGAAGAAGAAAGTATATTTTCTTCCATGTCCATGTTGTGTTTTCAGCTTGTCTGTACTGCCCTCTAATATGAAAAGCATTAATTCATGCATTCATTTTTCTACTCTACTGTTTTCCCTGATGCACCTCATGTATTACACGTATATAAATATGTTGTATTTGCTCCTGTAAAACTAAAACACTTCCTTTTTCTGTAGGGTTAATGGAATAAGTTGGACTCTTCTGCCCTGAAATCGAGTGTGCAGCATTGTTGTTCCACATGCAGACAGTTTGTAGTCACAGACATAACTTCTTATACTCAGCATTTACTCAAAGAATTTGATTATTACTGAACAAGAGGGAGGAATTAGCTAAAGGTGGAAAAATACATACGATCCTTAACGCAGACAAAATGAGAGAAAGGTTTCCCATCTGGCACTGCAGGCTGTTAGCAGGAGGAGAGGAGCGAGCACTGTAAAATGCACACTGACATAGGAATGCTAGATTTTCTTGCTTGGGCTGCACTGAGAGTGCGATGAGAGCTTCACGCAGACTTGTGTTACCAGATGTTCTGCTTGTCTTTTATTTTAAAGCTCTATCTGTAGCAGTATCACTAAAGTCTATATCAGAAATGTTGAAAACTATCCAGTGATGATGTAGAAAGTCTAGAGAAATAATATGTCAAGATTAATATGTTTTTATACTGTATGTGCTGTAGACTAGAGAGACACAGGCAGTTGCTATTACATGGAAATCTGCAATGAAATGAAATCTATCCTGGGGGATTCATTTATTTAACTTTAACTAAAGCGTCCACCATTGCAATGTAATTAGCTTTGTATCTTAAGTTAGAGTAGTGCTCTAGCACTGCACTCGTGCACAGAGCCAAAGTGGAATACGATCTTCTGGGTTCTGTTCAAACCTCATTCAAAATCCGAGTGACATTTGTAACTATGCTCATAACTACAAATCCAGCTGTGCTATTAAGTCCCAGATTCCCAGTTGTAATTATGAATCAGATGATAGTACACACACTGTTTTCAAGATAGAAACTGGTCATTACAGTAATTCTGCAGCGTTGACCTGCAAATGCTTTGGGTTTGTGGGAAATGGTGTTTGCTGAGAGCAGCTAAAAAAAGGTCATTAAATATACTCTAATAATTGTGCATGCACAGGCGACTGCTTTATTTTCTCTCTCTGTACAACATATACTTTACAGTACTGGGTGTAATCAGAAGAGGAACACACACGGTCCTCTGTTCCTCCTTTGAAAATCAAAATTCAGAATTTTGGTTATTAACTACATATATGGAATAAGACATGTACTGTTTTAGGAAGGTAATGTTGAGTAATCAGATTTTTATCTATTCAATTCCATTTTATTTTATTCATACAGCACCAAATCACAACAGTCACCTCAAGGCGCTTTATACTGTAAGGTAGACCCTACAATAATACATACAGAGAAAAACCCAACAATCATATGACCCTCTATGAGCAGCACTTTGGCGACAGTGGGAAGGAAAAACTCCCTTTTAACAGGAAGAAACCTCCGACCAGGCTTAGGGAGGGGCATAGATAGATCCTAGATTCTAACCTGTGCAGTTGCCTTGTGACTGAAAATGGTTGCCCATTGGCTGGTTGCATACCAGACCTCTGGGGGACAGGTTGGTCGAAGCAACTAGCAAAAAAAACTTCAGTCCAGCTACTGGACAACCACCAACTTTTCCTAGTCACAAGGAAGTTCTTGTTTTTATCTCTCTAAATGCTTTGCAGACTTTGTTGCTTCGTTGAACTTGATGTGAACTTTATATCTGCTTTGCTGCTGGTTCTTCAGTATTTCTGGGACATTATAATGTTAGCCTAAGTGACTGACTGATTGGTTGATCAGTGTCACTTTTCTGTGTGGCCAAAAGGTCAAAAGACTCTAAAGAGACACGGCACTAGGCTGTGTTTAAGTATGCAGAGACACCACATGTCAACTTTTCTGTGTGAACGTAAGAACAAATGATATGTGACCCACAGACGCATCTGAAGCATTAATAAATTTTTATTTCAGGTAAAACATTAAACAACATTTACAGAAGGACATTACATCTTCCATAATAACATTACATACAGCTCGTAACAAATAATGCAACAGCTACTCTACTGTATACTATAATATTTCACTGGATGAAGTGACTGACACTTCTGTTTTCCAAACCACTTGTGAAAATGACGTATTTTCAGTGCAGCATACAAAAAGAAAAATCCAAACGTGAAGAGAAGCTTTACAGAAAAAAGTTGCAAACACAGACTCATCGTTGAGCACGGCGAGGATGCACGTTGGCTCCAACCTATATGTTTTTCCTATTCGTACGACTTCTGCCCACACCACAAAGACTGTCAAAAATAGATGCCTTATATTTATACTCATCATATATGTACAGTCATATATGACGTCTCTTTAACAGCATTAAGGGGACACTTGTGGTTACAAGTGTCCCAAACATAGTGGAAGCGTCACTTTTTCACTCCAGCGAAGATGAAAAAGCACTACGTTATCAATCTCTCTTTCTTCTCTGTCACAGTGCTAAATGTGCAATTCCGACTAGTCGTTCCTTCACTGGGCTCTACGTGAAAGATATGAAGCACATTCAAGTTAAAACAGAGCTTGAACTCTGCCTGCACAGGACTCAAAAATATACGTTTTTTACAAGACTCCAGGCTCTCGAGCCTAAAAGAAGAGCATTGGGGCGTGGGGGTTGGGCTGAATGAATGAATATGAGCCACACTGAAAGTGTGCACACAAGGAGAAACATAGCAAAAATAATTATTCAGCTGCTAATACTGCCTGCAATCCCTTAAAGCCAAGCGAGGCTGGGCAATCTTAGCACAGCTCGATGGTATTAACCCTCTTCTGTCACGCTGCTTTACTGGCATTACCCACCGCCTTGCCTCCCCTTTTTTCGTGCCGCACAATCACAGCCCGGGGATGACACTGAAAAGCCGCGAGATAACTCAGAGTACAGCACTTCCACGAGTTCTCCCCTATCTGCAATAAAAGTTAAAACCAAGGGACAATATTTACATTTATGAGGAAGGCTGGTTTGAGCAAAGCAAGGGTATATATATATTTATATTCATATATTAATCATTAAGGGCAAAGCCAGTGCATAACAGAAGAACACAGGCATTCCAAACCAGTGGCCCACAGCCGTACGTACTGTAATAACTGAAGTAGCCAACTGGAAAAGCTTCATGCTAGCTGCAGCTGAGCTTTGGTTCACCACATGGTTGGCATAAAGAAGAGGGATTATTAAATTATGTAAGCACTGTATGGAAGAAAGACATGAAAACAGTCTGCAAAATCAGCCGAGAGAGTGCACGTAGGGGTTGCAGGGTTTTCTAGATGCCAGGTCTAGATGGCTGTGAAGAAATAATCTGGCAGGCAAGACATCTCTATTATGTGTGTTTGAGAGGCTGTGGAGTCACATTAGAAGCATCCACGGTTTCCATTCGTCCATGGCTTCAGATTTTTGGCTAATCAACAGTGCAGGGCCAATATTATTGTTTCAGTCGCTTTCAAACGGACTGGTAAAGAGGAAGCCATTGTATCGGTAGTACTTCACATCATCACCACACATCTAAGCTGAAATATTCGGATATTTGCACACAAAACAACAAAAGAAAGACAAAAACCCCAGTAGAAGATCTTTGCAGATGACAGCATACAGCTCACCTTCATCGCTGTGTCATAAAATGTTCCAAAGCACGGGCACACAGTTTGGGAATGTCTCTGCTCGAGAGCACATGTTGGTGTTATAGGGACTGATCAGAGTTAATCACCACCTCCTACTATGTGTATCTACTCCACACACACACACACACACACACACACACACACACACACACACACACACACACACACACACACACACACACACACACACACACACACTACAAATCAGTCATTCAAATTTTTCAGAGAAAAGAAATTCCAGATCTGTAACGTAGAAGCTTAAAAATAACTCGGTGACTCAGATCGTCTGTGTCC